CTGGATAACCCTCAGCAGGAGAAGTCAGCCACAACTTTGCACTTCAGATTAGAGAGGGAGAAAAGCAGCCATCTGGGCTCTGTGAAAAGAAACTGGCAGCCCTGGGAGCACTCTGGGCTGGTGTGCCCGTGGTGTTGCTCTGCAGCAGCACGCTCCAAACGCTCTCAGACACAGAGACTGGTGGAGTGGAACGTCTCCTGCTACAGCAGGCACTTCCCCTGCCAGTTATTTGTGGTGGGGGATGCATTTGTCATGCTGAGATTATTGCTATTTGAATTATAGGGCTGTTTTGTAACATAATTTACCTGGTATTCTTCCTCCAGGCGAGACAGAAGCACAGCTTTCTCTACTGTAATGTGCCTGTCAATCAGGCTCATGGACAGAATCAGCGATTTCAGCTGGGTGATTACATATTCTATACCTGCAAGGGAATAACCCAAACCAAACAAGATTCATGGCTGTTTTCTGCAGCATTACAGCAGCATCTTCACACACTCTGAAGAGACAGGCAGGCTGTGGTACCCCCCCAGAGAGGGCCAGTGATGCTCCCACCTGCACCTGGGCACTCAGATCTGTGGTTAACTCCAGGCACAGAGCATTGTGCTGGCCCTGCCACCACAGTGACAAAGGCCATGCCCTGGACACCAGCTCCTTTTATTCTGCCACAACCCTTCCCTGTGCAAAGGGAAGAGACATCCATCCAGGCTCCAGCATTCTGTGTCTTTTGTGGGTTTCACTGCCTGCTGCTCATTCAGGTCTGGAGCAAAGCAAACCTCCCTTCATTTCTTTATCTTTTGGTGTCATTCATATGATTCAGGCAAGATTAAGTGGGATATAAGGATAAAAAAGTGAACACAGTGCACAGTGTGGGCACTTTGGAGCAGTAAAGCCTGATTTCTTTTCCTGGTAACAACAAAGCTAGGGATTAAATCATTAGAAGGTTTGGCATTAAAGAAGTTATTTGTGCTAAGGTGGAGCAAGCAGCTCATGGGACAGCACAGTCACATCCTGAACACCAGTGGCACTAAAGAGAATCCCTGCCTGTGACAAAAGCAGGTCAGGGCCTGGCCTGCAGATTTAAAACATAAACCTCCACACTTGGAGCAGGAGAAGAAAACCAGTCCAGTCACTCTCCTGCCCCGTGGAGAGGAAGCACCTCCTCACTGGCCCAGCCCCCTCACCTTGCAGGGCCCACATGTTGTAGGATGCCAGATGGCTGACAAAGGTCTCCTTGGTGCTGGCTGGAATGTTTGGCCCCAGGATGCTGGTCGAGGAGCCAATTGTCACGTTGTACCTGGAATGATCCCCCAAACCCTTAGCACAGCCCAGGGGAAAGGCCCAGGGCTCATGGAGCTTGTGGCCCTGGCACTTCTAAGCACCAGAGCTCCTGGGCTCAGCAGGGCAGTGCTTGAGCAGCCAGGACCCCTTTGAGCTCTCACCTTTTCTCAACCCAGGCGACCACAGGATCCCATTCATTCTTCTGTAGCTCTGCCAAGGCTGGAGGCTCCTCCACGCGATAGCTGGGACATCACAGAACAAAACCACACTGCATGGTCACTCCCACACACCTCTGGAAGGACACTGACCCCCCCCAGACCCACAGCAAGTGGAACAGAGACCTGCTGTCCACCCAGGCAGCAGTGACAGGGAACTATCCCCCAACTCTTCCTTAAATTCAGTGCTTTTTGTTATTCCAGGAAGGACAATTCTGTCTTACTACAAAACAGAGCAGTGAACCAGCCAGCTGAAAACTGCAGGCAGCCCCAAGCCACAGACTGCAGTGAGGTTTAGCAGTTAGAGGAGGGTACAAACCCCACTGCAACTCTCTGTGGGGCCACTCCTCCTTCTCCTTGCCCAGTGGCTCAGCTCAGCATTCCCTCCTCCCCAGTTTGACCAAAGCCACAAGGGCAGGTGGGGGAGCCTGTTCCTCTCTCCCCACAGGAACTGTGCAGCTGCCAGTGGAGGCTGGGACAGGAGCCTGGGCATGAACAGGCTTGATCCTACAGCTGACAGGGACTTTAAGGCATGAAGGGCATTTTGGGACTGGTACAAGTTGTCTGAACTATCTGTACTGGCACAGGAATACCAGGGACTGGCTGACAGATCCCCACAGGCCTTTCAAAGATGTTTTCTTTTCTCCTAGAGCTTCATTTCCCACTGCTCTCACTCTTGCCCAGTAGGGAGGTGTCCAAAAGAGAGTTCAGCAGAGGACCAAAACAGAGTTCAACAGAGGGGACCAAATCCAGTGCTCCTTCTTTGGGTGCAGAGACTCCAACCAGGCTTGCACATGCAGGACTGATCCAAACTAATTCAAACCCTCAGGCAAAAACCAGCAGAGATCAGAGCCAGGCCATGCCTGGGTGAGTGCAGATGTCTTCCCTCACTTCACCCAACCCTCTTTCCAAAACCCAGCTGGGTCCCCAGCTCATACCAGACTGTGTCTGTCTCCAGGAACTTCACAGCTGCTCGGATCAGCTGCGTCTTGTTCCGCTGCGTGGGATTGTCCAGTGCTGTGTTGCACAGAGTGGTCTGGGGATAAAAGCAGTTGAAACTGCTGTTATTCCAGGCTTGAAAAAGCAGCAGCTTCTGTGGTGCAATGCCAGGAAGAAGCAGAAGGATGTGTGGCAGATGAAAAACTGAGGGGTGCAGGGCCATAAAATGGCTAATGTAATAGGTATCTTCCCAAATCTTTCAGGATCCCTGGAAACAGCTCACTAAGCAGCAGGGAAAAAGGCCATGGATTGCTCCAGAGCTCAGTTTCCTCCTTCCCCTCACTATTCCCAATAACACTGTCCAGCCCCTTCACAAGTTCCCCTAGTGGCACAGATTCCCTCTAGACAGGCACCCAGCCAGCCCAGAGGAAGTCCTGACTTTCTGCTCACTGGGAGCAGGACACCCTGCTGCCTCCACACTCTGCATTTGGGGGTCTCAGCACTCCCCCCTGCCCTGCTCACCAGGTGCATTGTGTAGAACTTGATGGTGTCTTTCTGGGAGTCCCACTCTGTTGCCACTGCAATGGCCAAGGCCTCGCTGGGCACAGTGAAGAGCTTGGCCTGGGGCGTTTTCAGCTTCCGGTGGTCCAGGTTTATTTCAAAGCCTCCTGGGGAATCAGAGTAGAAATCCTGGGGAATCAAAGAGGAGCAGGCACTAAGGAACAACAGACAACCCCACAGTGGGAGCAGATTCAGAGCTGGAGCTGACAGGAATATTCAGGTTTCCCACCATCACTTGGTCCTGGAAGCTTTTTGTAAATGAGGAGGGGGCACAGCAGCTGGTGACAAACCTGCCACTGACACAGCCTGGGCTGCAGGGGCTGATGTGGTGACACCTCTCCCAGGGATCAGCCCTCCCACCCCATCCCTGTGGCCACACTCACCTTCCCCCTGCGAGATGCTCACGTTCTGGTAGAACCTCTTCCTCTCTGGGGACAGAAACACAAGGCAAAGAGAACACTCAGAGGGCAAACAGAGAATGTTCAGCCCCTTCTCCTGCTCTCCATCACAGCCTTTGGTGCTGTCCAGGTGGCCTGGTGACAGAAATCCAGCCCTCCATCCACAGTTTCCAAGCTGTGAGCTCCAGTGAGCAGGGAGCAAACAGAACCAGCTACACTCCTGCCAGGCTGGGGCTCAGCTGCTCAGGCTGTGGCAGGGCTGGCTTCCCAAGCAGGCCTGTCCCACCTCTCCTCAGGAGTTCTGCTTCAGGCTCAACCTTTCCAGATTGCACAAATACAGTCACACTGGACAAATTAACCCCCAAAGGACAGTACAGCCCAAACATCCCAGTCCAGCCCAGGAATACACCTGCCCCAGCATCAAGGTGAGCCTGAGGAAACTTCAGGTCTCATTTCAGGAGCAGCATCCTTTGCTACCAGCTCTCCTGACAGTGTGAGAGCAGGACTACACCCATTCCAAAGGCTCACACCCCTCCCACAAGGCAGGAAGAATCCACGAGCCACTCCCTCGACAACAGCAACCAGGTTGTAAATCCCAAACCCATAAATCTGTCTCGTGAAGGGCACAGCAAACAGGTCAGGCTGCAGGTCTGCTATTCCAGGCTAAAAGCAGCACATTCCCACTGGGGAAATGGAAGGATTTGCTCAGGCTTGGAGACCTGTGAGCTTCGGGGCCTCAGGCACAGTTCTAAAAGCAGATTAAAGTGTGTGTAACCCAGAGGAGCCCCGAGGCTCATCAGTGACTCCCAACACCTTGTCATGAGTCACCACGACTCTGCAGCCTCACCTCTGACAACACGAGATTAATTTTACTGTTCTCAAACCCACACGATTCTAGCAAAGCCTTTGGATGGGACACGTGGGCCAGAACCTACCTGAACCCCCATTCCCTCAAAACCCCTCAAACCCAACAAAACGCAAAAACAAGAGCAACAAACTGGTTGGGCGAGGGCTCGGCCGTGCTGCCAGCGAACCCTGCCCGCTCCAAACACAAATTAACACCAGGGAAAGAGCGCTGGGGGGGAACCCCAGCCCCGGGACCGCTCAGCGGCCGCGGGGAGCGCGGTCCCCGCGAGGCCGCGCCGCTCCCAGCCCTGCCCCGGGCTGGGTGCCCAGGGCAGGACCCCGCTCCCCACACGGGCCTGGAGCCGGCCCCGCGCTCCCTCACCTGCCGGCGGGGCATAGGCCCGGCGCCCGCACAGCCCCACCGGGCCGCTCCGGGCGTGTGCAGGAGGCGGTTGGGGGAGCCGAGCGGGCGGGGAGTGGGCCCACCACAGGCGGCGACAGCCGCGCCACATCGCGACAGAGCCGACACAGCGACAGAACGACACAGCGACAGAGCCCGTCCCGGCCGCGCTCAGCGCCGCTCGCTGGGCGCCGCCATCTTCCCGGCGCCCTCAACCAATCCGCGCCGCCCGCAGGGAAAATCCTACATTTCCCAGCAGCGCCAGCCGGCAGCACAACCAATCAGCGCCCGGCGTCGTGCCAGCAGCCAATCAGAGGCAGGGGACGCCCCTGAGGCACGCGCGCGGGGGCCAATGGGAGCGCGCGGAGGCGCTGCCAGGAGGCCCCGACCCAGCGGCGGCCGAGGCGTGAGGGAGCGGAGCGCAGCGGAGCGGGCGGCGTCCCCCGGCCGCACCCCGGCCCCGGCCACGCTGGCGCCCGGGGACCCCCCCGAGATGCCGGTTCGGAGCGAGAGGCGCCGCGCTGGAGGGGCGGGGGGCTCGGCCTCCTCCGCCGCCGCCGGAGCGGCCGCCAGCAGCCTGGTGCCGCCGCCCCCCATCAACACGGCGCAGCCCGGGGTGGCCACTTCGCTTCTCTACAGCGGGGCCAAGTTCCGCGGGCAGCAGCGCAGCAAAGGCAACGCCTACGAGGTGGAGGTCGTCATGCAGGTGAGGGGGGTGGCCGGGCGGGAAGGGCCGCCGAGGCCTGGGACGAACGGGGACCCGCTGGCCTGAGGCCGCCGTGGCCGAGCCCGCCCCGCCGGCCCCCTGCCACAGCACCCGCATCGCCCTGGCCCTCGGTGTAAGGAGGAATTTCTTCACTGAAAAGGTCGTTAAACATGGGAACGGACTGCCCAGGGAGGCGGTGGAGTCGCCATCCCTGGAGGGGTTTAAGGAGAGGCTGGACGTGGCGCCCAGCGCTGTGCTCTGGTTGACACGGTGGTGAATCAGTCACAGGATGGGCTGGGTGATCTCAGCTCCTGTCCGACCTCGGTGGCTCTGTGGTGATTCCAAGCCGGCGGGGTGTTTTTACGTTCGGTTCTCCGCGTTCCTGGTGGGATTTGTTGTGGTGGGGACATCCCATGGCTGCTCAGCTCCACTGCACGCTGCCACCTCGCAGGGGCTGGCTGTGCTTTTGTGCTTAAAAACGCTGCTTTTGTGCCTAAAACGTGCCTGTTTTGCATGTGTCAGCTGAGGAGAGGGGGCTGCCTGCTCTGCCTGTGCTGAGCACAGGGAAACGTTGCAGTCCTTTGATCACAGGTGGGGAAGATCCATCTTCTCATGGGCAGAGGTTTGCACTTCCCTGAATAACTCGCTGCGTGTTTTGAAAGCGGATCTGGAGATGTCAGGGAAAAGAAAAAAATTCTTGGAAAATCCCTGCTTTTAAAGGAGCAGGCAAATCCTTGCCTAGTTTCTGCACAGCACAGGCAGAGATGTGCAGCCTGATAACTCTAAATGCAGGTGGCATAAAAGCTTTAGATTTGGGAGAAAGGCCTCCTGCAAAATGCTGGGCATGTGGGTGATCCTTCCAGGGATGCTTTTTCTTGGAGAACACTGTGAGTCAGGTCCCTTCTGGCTGGAAAGGGGCTTTGCTTCCTGCTGCAGAGTTCTGGGCAGAGGGTGTTGCCTTGGGAGCAGGCCTGGGATGTGGAGGCTGCCAGAGGTGAGCTGGGCACCTGCAAATGATCTTTCCAGGTGGTTCCCTTCATGGAAAAGGGCTGGCAGTGTGAATATATTGGGCAGTGGGTACCAGCTGGAGCTGAAATTATCCTTGGAAGGGTTGGAAACTGCTCTGGATCAAGCATGCACCTTCGTGCCTGTTTTTATGGTTGGACTTTGCACTCTTTTCCAGCATGTGGATATGGAAAACTCCTATCTCTGTGGATACTTGAAGATTAAAGGCCTTACAGAGGTGAGTGTTAACTGTGCAGCACCACAAAGAGGGGCTCTGTAAAGGCTTTTATTTCCTGCTGGGCTGGGAGAAGCTGCTGCCAGAAATAGGAGGTGGAGGGATTGGATGTTGTAGATTTGATCACAGGGCATCAGCTGGGGAATGGTGCTGGCTGTAAATGTCACAGGTTTTAATCCAGCTGTGGATGCTCCATGGAATCATTTGAAGTTGGAAAAGCCCTCAAAAACCATTGAGTCCAACCATGGACCCAGGACACAGCCAGGTCCACCACTTCCCTGGGCAGCCTGTTCCAACCTTTAACCACTCTTTTAAATTGTTCCTGATATCCAATCTAAACCTCCCTTGGTGCAATTTGAGGACATTTCTGCTTGTCCTGTCCCTTGTTCCCTGAGAGCAGGGCTGCACCCTCCTGTCAGGAGAGTGAGGGTCCTTTCCCCAGGCTGAGCCATTCCTGCCCCTCAGCTGCTTGTGTTCCAAACCCTTCCCCACAGCCCAGCTCTGACATGGCTCCTGGCTTCATAAAGTGAGGAGAGAGGCAGAGAAGGGCTGGAATTAGAGAGTGGAAGAGTGAGCCTTGGAGAGGTGTGGGGCAGGACGAGGGGTGGGCGCAGCAGCCTCAGAGTGCCCGCAGCTCTCCCTGGGAGATGCTTTCTGCTGAGTGCATGGAGCCTTGTCTGCTGTTGGGATTGTGCCTGTAGGTGACAGTTGTGAGCCCCCTTTGTCTCCCCTCTGGCAGGAGTACCCAACCCTCACCACGTTCTTCGAGGGCGAGATAATCAGTAAGAAACACCCGTTCCTGACGCGCAAGTGGGACGCCGACGAGGACGTGGACCGCAAACACTGGGTACATCAATCTGGGGGCAGGGCTGGCTCTGGGCTGCTGCTTTGGGGGAGAGGTGCAGTGCAAGAGCTGGCAGAATGGCCTGGAGACCTCTCCTTTTTGCTGTCTCCCTCCTTCTCCCACTGGGATCTTTGCAAATAGAGATCTCTTCAGCAAGCTGTGATCTGTGGTGAGGGAGGGGTTTCTTGTTTTCCACTTGTTGGCCGTGGGGTGGGAAGGGAACAGGAGCAATCCCCATCTCTTGACCCCCTAAGAGAACACGCTCCTTATTTTTGGAGACTTATTGCAAAATGGAATGGAGAAGGGGAAAGGGGTCCCACGAGCACAGGTAGGGTAGTTGGTACCTGTGTCCCTGCTCAGGGCAGGGTGTTCCTGCTGCTGTGTTTTGAGGCCACAGTAGCCACCTGATCAGCCCCACCCTGACGTTGGTTGTTTGACAAGCTTTGATGTTTGTTATATTTCTGTCAAAATACCTTCCTCTGGAAGTGCAGGAGCTTCTCCAGCCAGGCTGGATGTTGCTCTGAGTGTCAGTAGATTTCCCTCCTAAACAGCAGCTGGTACTAGAAGTTCTATTCCTGGAATAAACATCCTGGTTGGTTTTTTTTCTTTTCTTTTTTGTTTCAGGGGAAATTCCAGGCTTTTTACCAGTATGCAAAAACATTTAACTCTGATGACTTTGATTATGAAGATCTAAAAAATGGGGACTATGTCTTCATGAGATGGAAGGTAAACCCTGCCTGTCTCCTCTGCTGAGCTGCTTGCAAAGCACTGACAGAGACTTGAGCTGTCAGAGCTTTTCCAGCTGTGGTGGTTTAATGAAAGATCTCACCCTGCCAATCCCAAAACCCACTGTACTTGCAAGTTCCAGTATGACTCGTGTCTAGCCAGCTAATTGTGTCCTTAAGGGCTGCAGTCGTGGCTAAAAGCACAACAGGAAAATCTTGCTTGGTGATGCTGCAGAGGATGAGAGAACTGATGTCTCCAGTCCCTGTTTGATGCAGACTGGCCACTCTGCAGCTCTGTTCTTCAGCTGAGGTCATCACAGAGTCACCATAGACTGGTTTGGGTTGGAAGGAACCTTAAAGCTCATCTTGTTCCACCTCCTGCCAAGGGCAGAGACACCTCCCACTATCCCAAGCCCTGTCCTTGGACACTTCCAGGGATCCAGGAGCACCCACAGCTTCTCTGGGCACCCTGTGCCAGGGCCTCCCCACCTTCACAGGGAAAAACGTTGTCCCAATATTCCATCTAACCCTGCCCTCTGGCAGTGGGAAGCCATTCCCTCTCTTCCTGTCACTCCCTGTCCTTAGCAGAGTTCCTCTCCAGCTTTCCCATAAGTGTTGAAAAGCTGTAGTAAGAATTCTCTGGAGCCTTCTCTTCATTCTCAGGCTGTGACTCCCAGTTTTGCAGGGGACAGGTGTTGAAACTGATCTCTTGCACTCTTAAAACTCATTCTGTTCTCAGTTGTCTGCTTCCCTGTGAGGTCCCTGCAGTGGCAGGTGTGAAGGGACACTGGTCTCTGCTCTGGGCTGAGAGTGCAGGGAGTGCTCAGCCAGGAATGCCTTCATGTTAGTGGGTGCCAATATTTGGGTTGGGAGGGCAGATTGGGGTGGGGTGGGGCTGTATTTGACCAACATTTTAAGGTGCAGCCTGTGTTTTGAATGCAGGAGCAGTTCCTAGTCCCAGATCACACCATCAAGGACATCAGTGGTGCTTCCTTTGCTGGTTTCTATTACATCTGCTTCCAGAAGTCAGCAGCATCTATAGAGGGCTATTACTACCATAGGAGTTCAGAATGGTAAGGATGTTTCCTTCCTCCTGGAGACATAAACCAAGCTGTGACTCCTCTGCTGCTTGTCCCCAGCCTTGGGAGTGTCCAGGCAGGAGATTCAGGCTCCTGGCTGGACCTTGGGGCTGAAGGGAGGGGTGTGGGCCATGGCTGGCCTGAGCTGGCTGGTGTGGTATAAAGTGCTGTCCTTACAGAAAAGGGGAGGAAATTTGGGATGGCAGGATGGAGGAGGGAAGGTGATACAGGATCTGGAGAAATGAGGGAGCTCAGTTCTCTCTCCTCAGGAACAGCTTGGCTGTTGCTCCCTTCAGGCAGAAATCTTGTCAGGCCAGTGTTTTGTATTCTGAGGTCCTTGGGGTGTTGCTGTTAAGACAAGAGAAAAGTCAAAGCTAATTGGTGGGGGTTTTGTTGGAGACAAGTAGCTGTGGAGAGCTCTTTTCCCTTGCTCATTGTCATGAGCAGCAGGTGGATGGCTGGAAGCTCTCAGGGGGAGGGAAGGAACCAGGAGGCTTTCAGACACATTCCCTCAAGCTGAGCTTTGAAAGACTCATGTGTAATTTGCACTTGTAGCAAACACTGTTTGAACTTGAAAGTTGTTGAATTTCAAAGGGAGTCCAAAAAACCACCACAGTCAGCCCACCAGGAATGCTGCCTTGCTGCAGGTGGCTCAGAGGGACCAGAGTGGGAATTACAGCATCATTAAAGTTGAAAAAAAACCTCCAAAATCATCAAGCCCAACCTTTGACCAAATGCTGCCATTCCCACTAAACCCTAAATGGAATATCTGTTTGATTTCTGAGCACTTCCAGGGATGGTAACTCCACCATTCCCTGGGCAGGCCATTCCAGGTCTAAACCACTCTTTCAGTGAGGGATTTTTTCTTTGTATCCAGCCTCTCCTGGCACACCTTGAGGCTGTTTCCCCTTGTCCTATCACTAGTTTTGTGGGAAAAGAGCCCGACCCTTACCTGGCTGCACCCTCCTGTCAGGGAGCTGTGGAGTGATGAGGAACGATGCTGAGCCCTGCCAGGATTTTGGACTGTGGGAAGTGGGTGCTGGATACCTGAACACCCTGGGGCTGTAACGGGGGAGAAAAGAGCAGCGTGTGTGCTCTGGCTGCCAGGCAGGAGCTGTGTGTAACCCTCCCCTCCCTCTCTGCCTCCTCTGCCAGGTATCAGTCGTTGAATTTAACGCACGTTCCCGAGCACAGCGCTCCTATCTACGAGTTCCGATGACAGCTGCCCACGTCTGAGAACACCCAGAAGCAAAGGGGCAGGAGGGCATGGCCTGCCAGGAGAACTGTGTCCCTGTGGGAGCACGGCAATGCACGCTTCTCTCCTGCCCTTGGACTCGAGAGAGAGAGAGAAAGAGAGCCTGGATGTGAACTCACCCAGCCCGAGGAGCTGCTGGAGCTTTGTTCTCCCTCCTGTCGAGTGGCCATTTGATCTTTACTCTGGTTTTAAGCTACTTTAATGCACTTTCTTGTTGCACAGCTCGTTTCTCTGTCACTGAAGTTCCTCCCGGCTCTCCTCTGGAAGCTGTTTCTCAGTAGCTGGAATCAGTGCTCTGGCCTCTAAATAATAAGGAAATGTAAGCTCAAGGCTTATATTTTCCTTGTTGTATCCTGATGTGGGTTGAAATCACCAGGATTCAGGTTTCTTGCCCAGATTTCCAGCTGTGATGCTGTCAGAGCCAGGTCCTGGGTGTGAGGCTCAGCTGTGGAGCCTTGGGGAGTGTTGGCTGAGGTAAGGCTGGAGTGAGGCTTGGCTGGCTAACAAGGTTAGCTGGAGCTGCAGATCTTTCAGGAACGCCAGCCCTTTGGAGCTGGGAGCTGTTCCTGTGTCTGGATACACCACTGGGAATTAATTTGATGTATGGACTTCCAGGCTCTCAGTAAAGTGGATCTGAACTCTGCTTGTAGGTGTATATTTGCTCTTTACTTAAGGGTAAAAAAAAAAAAGAAAAAAGTTAAAAAAAAAGACTAAAAAAAAACTTTTATTAAAAAAAATATCTATTTTTATGGTTCCTTTTCCAAAGGACCCTATGGCAAATGCACAAGTACTGGATTCCATGTTACAGTTTTCACATTGAAAACCAGGAATGTCTGTGTTTTTATATCTGTGTCTGTATCCAGCTAAGCTTTGGGAACACAACCAGAGCACAAACACTGAGCAGCATCACCCTGGGACTGCTCAACGTTTGTACTCCCCCTTCATGCTTCACCACCACTGCTTGACACCTTTTTACAAGGAAAAAGAAGAAAAAAATTTTTAAATAACCCTTCTCAGTAGCTCCCCCTGACTCTGAATGTTCCAAGTGACATAACTCAAGGCTCCTGTGCCAAAGCGTGTGTGTGTGGGGTGGTTTTTTTAAAGACACTTTAAAACTTGGCCTCAGTTGTGTTTTTACCTTGTCAGCCCCCCTGGGGGGCTTTGTGAGAGTTTAGTTTGCCTTTTTTTCTGGCTGTTTTAAAGCCCAGCTTCCTCCAGGCAGACGTGTGGTACTCTTGGTGCTGAGGATGGATTTTCCACCTGGGAGAGGGGATTGAAGCCTCCCTGTGCCACTGTGAGCTGCTTGGGGTTTTGCTTTGTAACTCATTTCCCTTTTGGCAGCAGTCATCGCTGGTTTAAGCCTCACTGAGGAAGATTCAGGGCTTGGAGAGCCCTTTCCTCTGTCCCAGGCTCTGTTTGGAGTGCTGGGTCTCAGGAGATGATGGGAATTCTCCTGCCCTGCACGTGCTGCTCTCCATGGATCAGCCCCTCTCCCCCTGGAGAGAGCAGGGACAGAGCTGGCCCTTCCAGGACGCTGTCCTGCTGCCTTGGGGGATGTGCAGGGACAGCACTGAGGTGATCTGGGGCTGTGAGCAGAGCCCTTGGGAAGTGAGTTCCCGTTTTAATTTGCTCCTCTCGGAGGAACTCGGGATGGAGCTTTCCTCAGGTTTGGTGCTGGGAGATGTCCTGCTTTTCAGAGGTGAAAACCAGTGGTGCTGCTCCACTGTGAGCAGCGTGGGGGTGAATGCTCCTTCCCAGGTGCTGTGTGGGTGCAGGGACCCAGCTGCAGTGGCTCTTGCAGCCTCTGGAGCTGCCTGTGCAGTGCTGGTGGTGGCACCGGTGTCCTGTGCCAGAGGGACACTTGCATTTCTGATCTGCTTCAGTTGAATTAACCCTGTTGGTTGGCAGAAGCTGAGTTAGGAGGTCCTGGGGGTGTTTAACACGTGTAACTGTCCCTAAACCAATGAAGTTGGGTTTTTTTTAAGACTTGATACGTTGTGAGAAGGGTGTGGAAAGAGAATCCTGCTCTGTGCCTGCCTTCTTCCCACCTGAAGGGAATTTCAGCTCAGATCCAGAGCTGGATGTGATGTGTGGCAGGTGCAGAGCAGGTTGTGGAGCTGAGGGCTTTGCAGGGCTGTGGGTGTGTGGGTTTTTCCCTCCTCAAAGGCCTTTGCTTTGGTTTTTCCTTTTCTTTGACCTGTTGGAGTTGAGGGGAGATGTTCTGTACGTCGTGGTGTGGTGAGAGAGAATGGCCCAGGGGAGGATTTGGGGGGCAGAGGTGAGAAATGGGGTGTGGGGCTCGGGAGAGGATGTGGTGTCTCTTGAACCACTGTGGCTGCAGCAGGGTGACCGTGTGGGGCCGAGGAGGAGTTTTGTGGAGCGATCAACGTCCGAATTAAACACGAATTCTGTTCAAGGGGCCTGTGTCCGTGTGTGTTTGTCCTGCACAGCACTCCCTGCTTCCAGGGCATTGCTGTGCTTCATCTCCTTCCTTGAGGGCTTCTCCAGGAATCCCAGCAGCTCCTGCTGGCCTGAATTCACACTGTCAGAATCATCAAAGCTGGAAAAGCCCCCTGAGAGCATCGAGTCCAGCCCATGTCCCATCCCCACCTTTTCACTTGGTGCCAGAGTGTCACACCCAGTCTGTCCCTGAACACCTCCAGGATGGGGACTCCACCAACTCCTGGACAGGCTGTTCCAGTATCTAACCACCCTTTTTGGGGAGAAATTCCTCCAGCTGCCCAGCCTGAACCTCCCCTGGCCCCCTGAGGCTGTTCCTCGTGTCCTGTAGCCCCATCCACGCTCCTTTCAGCATCCAGCCGTAATTAGAGGAGCAGGAGGAGTCAGTCCCGGCCAGGGGCTCTCCTGCTTCCTGAGACCCGTCCCTTTGCCCCCGTCCCCGCAGTCTCCTGTCCCCACCGGGGTCACTCCCGGGCCCCTCCCGGCGCCCCGCGGTGGCGGCGGCCGGAACGCAGGGCGCGGGGCTCGGGGCGCGGCCGGAGCTGGCGGCGCGGCGCGTCTGGGGGCTGTGTAAATAATAGAAATAAACCTGTAAGCTCCTGGTTTCATGCCTTTATCTGTTACAAAGTGAGACACCCACCTTCCTTTTTTTTTTCTTTTTTTTTTTTCCTGCTTCGGTGTAAATTCGAGTTTTTTGCTAAGAATAATGCAGCAAAATACTTTCACACATGTGAGCACTGAGCTAAAAGTGTCTTTATTTTCCCCTCCTCTTGTCAACTTTTAACCTGGTCGTTTTGGGGTCTGGATGTGAGCAGGTGGAAGGAGGGGCTGCTCCCCTGTGACCTGAACTGGCTGCCTCCATTCCTGCAGCTGCTCTCCCTCTGCCTTCTCCTTTAACTCAGGAGCTCTGTGCCTGTTTCCCTCCCCTCTGACTCGGGGCAGCTCCCTGCAAGGTTTGCTCTCAGTGCCCAGGGGGGCTGATGGAGCAGCTCTGTGCCTGCCAGTGCTTCAGGCATTACCAACACCCAGAAGTGTTTCCTTTTCAGGAGGGAAGGAGAATCACCAGGACTTTGTGCCAACAGCTGTTGTGTTTGTGTCGTTGCAGCCACCGAGTACCACCTGGGCCTGCTGAAGGCAAAGCTTGCCAAGTACAGAGCTCAGCTGCTGGAGCCCTCCAAATCCCCGGCTGCCAAGGGCGAGGGCTTCGATGTGATGAAATCAGGAGATGCCCGTGTGGCACTGATTGGATTTCCTTCTGTGGGGAAGGTCAGTCTGCTTTGTGCTCCCTGGGTTTGCAGGGGCTGCAGAGCACATTTGGGGAGGTCAGTCAGGTTTTTCAGGGGCTGCAGAGCAGGTTTGGGGAGGTCAGTTCAGGTTTGTGCTCCCTGGGGTTTGCAGTGGCTACAGAGCAGGTCTGGGGAGGTCAGTCAGGTTTGTGCTCACTGTGTCTCCAGCCCAGGGGTTTGCAGGGGCTGCACAGCACATCTGGGGAGGTCAGTCAGGTTTGCAGTGGCTGCAGAGCAGGTTTGGGATCACAGCACCCTGGGATGGTTTGGCTTGGGAGGCACCTTGAAGCTGCTCTGGATGGATCCCACCTGGAGTTTTGTGCCCACTGGGGTTTGCAGGGGCTGCACAGCACATCTGGGGAGGTCAGTCAGGTTCAGGTTTGTGCTCACTGTGTCTCCAGCGTTCACACTGAAAGTGTGCTCACTGGGGTTTGAGGTGTCTGTAGAGCACATTTGGGGAAGGTCAGTCAGGGTTTGCAGAGGCTGCAAAGTAGATGTGGGGAAGGTCAGTCAAGTTTGTGCTCACTGGGGTTTACAGTGGCTGCAGAGCAGGTTTGGGGTCACAGCACCCTGGGATGGTTTGGCTTGGGAGGCACCTTGAAGCTGCTCTGGATGGATCCCACCTGGAGTTTTGTGCTCACTGGGGTTTGCAGGGGCTGCAGAGCATATTTGGGGAGGTCAGTCAGGTTTATGCTCACTGGGGTTTGAGGTGGCTGCACAGCAGATTTGGGGAGGTCAGTCAGGTTTGTACTCCCTGGGGTTTGCAGTGACTGCAGAGCACATTTGGGGAGGTCAGTCAGGTTTTTCAGGGGCTGCAGAGCAGGTTTGGGGAGGTCAGTCAGGTTTGTGCTCACTGTGTCTCCAGCTCACTGGGGTTTGCAGTGGCTGCACAGCAGGTTTGGGATCAGCACCCTGGGATGGTTTGGCTTGGGAGGCACCTTGAAGCTGCTCTGGATGGATCCCACCTGGAGTCCTGTGCATGGTTCTGGTGTCTCCAGCATGAGGAGGACGTGGGACTGTTGGAGAGAGGAGACAGGCTGAGAGAGTTGGGGCTGGAGGAGAGAAGGGTGTGTGGAGACCTCACAGTACCTGGAAGGGCTGCAGGGGAGCTGGAAGGGGATTCTTTGTAGTGGCAGGAAAAGGAATGGGTTCACACTGAAAGAGGGGAAATTTAGATGAGATATATGGAAGGAATTCTTCCCTGTGAGGGCAGGGAGGCCCTGGCACAGGGTGCCCAGAGCAGCTGTGGCTGCTCCATCCCTGGAAGTGTCCAAGGCCAGGCTGGAAAGGGCTTGGAGCCACCTGGGACAGTGGCAGGGGTGGAATGAAATGGGCTTTGGGATCACTTCCAACCCAAACCATTCCATGATTCTGTGATCTGGCTGAAAGTTGGAGATGGGGAAACACTCCTTCATGTTGTGTGCTCTGCCCTGTGGAACTTGTTGTTCCTGAAAGTTGTTCTTGCCCAGCCCCTGCAGTGCTGAGGAAAGAAAAACCCTGATTTACTTCAGTTCCATGCCAGTGTCACCACCTCAGTCCCTGTGCCTGGAACAGCCACAACACAACTTCCACAGCCTGAGGGGCACTCTGGTGTTGCTTGTTTTGCTGAACCTTCTCATTTTCCTGCCTGCTGATGCTGATCTCTTGCATTTCAGTCCACGTTCCTGAGTTTAATGACCTCGACTGCCAGCGAAGCCGCGTCCTACGAGTTCACCACGCTGACCTGCATCCCAGGAGTCATAGAGGTGAGCAGGATTCTCCTGCAGCTGTGGAAATGTGTCTGCACCAGCCACACTTGTGCTGCCACTAAGGAGCACGCACATCCAAAGGTCTCCAAGGCTGAGTTTTGCTTTAAACTTTTCAGTGCTGATGCAGCACTTCGCTGAACTCCTCAGGACTGGCTGCCTGATCAGGATTTTTGTGCTGCTCTTGGACTGGCCAGAGCAACACCACAATTCTCAACTGAATTTTGTATAACCACTGTCAGTGCCAGTGACCAGCTGGCTGCAAACCTTGACAGATTTGTTTTTAATGAAGCTTTACAGAGGCAATCTGTGCTGTGATCACTTTCAAAACAAAATGCAGCTTTTCCTGTCCTTGTGGGGTTTTATTAGTGGTGACCTCAGCATCCATCAGTAAAGCAAATGATAAAGGGCATCAAACTGAAAAGTGTCCAAGAGTAATGAGGAAATCTGGCTCAGGATGGAAGGGGGAGTTAAATAATGAAAGTAACTGTGTTAGTGGGAAAAGGAGTTTGATGTAACACATTCCAGCAGAGGTGTGAGCTGCAGCAATTACTGGAGAGCCAATACCTTGCAAATCTAGGAATGTCTCCTGGGATTTTTTTACCTGCAGCACACCTGAATAGTTTGATCTGTCACAGTAGATGTGGCACTTGTTCATTACTGAGTTTTCTCATTTAACCAATAAAAGAAGAGTTGTTTTTCCTTTCCATTCCCCGAACTTGGGAATGTGTGGCTGCTGTGCTCTTTTGCTGGTGCTTTGTCCAGCTGCAGTTACGGGATGACTTTAGGGGGTCAGGACCTAATGCTGCATAACACAGCCCATGGCTCTGGAATTTGCCTCAGGACAGAGCCAGGAGCTTTGTGCTGATTTCCCCTGGCCTGCCAGTTCCATCCAATTCCACTCCCTGCAGGATGTGGACCCCCAGCAGAGTTTGGGGCTTTGGGGGCAGCTCAAGTGCCCTTCAGGAACCTTTCAACTTTCCACCCTTCCCTTTCCCTTTCAGTACAAAGGAGCCAATATTCAGCTGCTGGATCTGCCTGGAATCATCGAAGGAGCAGCTCAAGGTTGGCTCATGTCTGTGTTCATGTAGAGAGGGATTGCCCTCAGTAGTGCCCCTGGGTGTCTCAGATACACACAGGTTTCCTGGGCCAAGAGTTCCTACATTGTCTTCCCAGATTTTTGAGTCCTTGATCCTATGTGAGGCACGATTCCTGTCCCTGAGCCCACAGAAGGGTCTATATGTAGCACAAAGATGGTTTTCTGGAGGTGGGAGCCAAAGCAAGCCAGTCACTTCTCACGTCCTTGCCTGAGTGTGAAGTGGCTCATCTGTTTTCTGGTACTGAGGAAATCTATAGAAAGATGCTGGAGAGGCAGAGGGAGAATTACAGCTAAACACTAACCTTGTTTGAGTAATTCCCTGAGTTCCTGCCAGTCCTCCCATGACTCCTGATTCTGGGAAGAGATGTTGGCTTTGTCTCTCTGTGTTGTCATTGTCTTCATTGGCTGGTTGTGTCTGAAAATAGTTTAGGAAATCAGGGAGTCATGGAACATCTGGGATCATCCAGTCCCACTCCTGGCCCTGCACAGACACCCCAACAATCCCACCCTGTGCCTGGTGTTGTCCAAACCCTCCTGGAGCTCTGGCAGCCTCGGGGCTGTGCCCATTCCCAGGGGAGCCTGGGCAGTGCCCAAACACCCTCTGGGGGGGAAGAACCTTTTCCTAATATCCAACCTGACCCTGCCTGACACAGCTCCAGCCATTCCCTTGGGTCACTGGAGCAGTGGCTGTGTTTCCTTCTGGCTCTGATCTCTCTGCTGAGCTCTCTGTGCTGCCTGGAGCTGCTGCCAGGGTTTCCAGCACCTGACTGCAGCCAGAACAGCACTGCAGGATCTTTTTCCTTGCTTTCAAGCTGCTGCACAGGGC